TATGGCAGATGAACTAAAAAATGGGAATTTAGCAGTTAAAACTAAATTGGTTAATAACACGTACTATACGAGGTGTGTTCAAAAACTAAGGTGAATTTTTAAATTGGGCAGGCTACGTAGATTCGATCATCGATATTTTTTTTATTATGTTGGTATACATGTCCTTCACATATGCTCACAGTCTTAGTCAGTTTGTATGTTTACTTTTTTTTCTTTTGTGAGACAGAAACGTTAGACGTGTTTTTTGTGCTCGGTGATTTTCTGCTGTCGAAAACAATAGATAAAAGAGTTTGCATAAAATTTTGTGTAAAAACTGGAATTAAGTGCTCCAAAATACTTGAAATGTTGATAGTGAGATACGGAGAGTCTACTTTAAATTAAAAAAAATGTTTAAAAACGGTATAAGCTCTTTCAAGATGGCCGAGAAGACACCGACGACGAACCTCGCTCTGGACGCCCCAGCACTTCAATAACTGATGAAAGTGTTGAAGAAGTGAATTAAATGGTGTTAAAAAATCGTCAAATCACTATTAGAGAAGTGGCTGAAGACGTCGGCATCTCTGTTGGCTCGTGCCATGCAATTTTTTCCGAAGTTTTGGGCATGACCGTGTAACAGAAAAATTTATTCCGAAGCTGCTTAATTTCGAACAGAAGAACCGTCGAAGGATCATCGCTCAAGAGCTGTTAAACGACGTCAATGATCATCCTGATAAATTCAAAAGAGTCATTATGGTTATGACGTCGAAACTAAAGCCCAATCGAAAAAAGCACGTCAAGTTCGATCAAATGTTAAGGTTTTACTCACTGTTTTCTTTGATTATCGTGGCGTAGTACCTCAAGAGTTCTTTCTGCAAGATCATACGGTTAATGAAGAGTATTACCTTGAAGTTATGCGCCGATTGCGAGAAGCAATATAAAAAAAACGCCCGGAACAATGGGAAAACAATTCATGGATTTTGCATACCGATAATGCACCTGCTCACTCATCGTTGCTTGTGTTGAACTTTTTGGCCAAAAAATAAAACCACAATTTTACTTTTAAAGAAAAACTCGAGGAAGACTATACCATAAAGTGCTTACCAGAAATGCTTCGAAAATTGGAAAAAAACGTTGGTACAAGTGTATTATATGTAAGGGGGATTACTTTGAGTGGGACAACATCAATATTAATGAATAAATAAATATTTTTTCATAATAATAAAAATTCACCTTAGTTTTTGAATACACCTCGTATATTACATACAGATATTACTATACATATATAAATTGTTAATAGTACTATACATATAATACAAAATAGTAATAAATATACAAGTTTGATTTCAAAATAATATTGCAACCTAGCAGAGGAGTTTGTTTTTCTGTTTGCTGGTCTGGAATACAAACCAAAAACTTAATCTAATAATACGACTACTAAATTAAAACTAGAATAGTTATTTTGTTTCGTGCCTGTATGAATAAATTAAAAGTTAAAAAGTACCAAATAACAGGACCTAGATAATGGATAACATAAATATAAATATTGACATCGAAAAATGAGTGTTGTTCCAAACCGAAGAAGAATTAAAAGAGTAGTTACATGAACTAGATCTGGGTAACGATGGTTCCAGGCTCAGAAAAGTCGCAAAATATCACAGCTGGCAAACTGATAGTTACTCTGCAAGTGACTTAGTGAAATTGGACAAATACAGCAGACGACATTGTTAGAAGAAGGCAGTTAAGGTTACAGCTAATAACGATATTGTGTGAAAATAGCACAACAAATGAAACATCAGAGGTGCTGCAACAAGATACAAGAGTATTGATATGTCTGCCAGAAATTGCATAAAATTTATCAGAATTAATTGACAACAAACAAGAGAAGACCCAACAGAAGAAGAACCCCAGACAAGAAGAATAGAAATTACTTCAGAAAATGGTTAAAATTTCGGAATACTAGCAGAATTCGCAAGATTGATTCAGGACTTAATCTTACGAACCAGAATCTTCGAAAAAGTCCAAGATCTATTAGCGACAGTCAACGAAAACGTTGGCTACAACACAACTTTTGACTATAATGTGTAAAACCAATGACGTGATGAAACCGCAATTAGACAGGATAAAAACTCAGTTGTTGGCAACGGAACAAGAAATTAAAGAACTGAATCTATGACACCCCACAAGCACTGTAGATCCAACAAAACTGGCTAGATCGGAGCGGCATGGCGTTATATTTCAAGACACTTTTACGTACCACTACGACTAGCAACTACCGCAAAATATTCCTACAGCCACTTGTCCATAGCCCAGGCGGATTGTCTTTATTGGTATCCTCACGGCGTCTTTTCTCGCGGGGGGGGGGCGGACAGCAATGTTGTACAAAGGCTATTGCTGAAGTGTTTTAAGAAAGACACAGCAGCTCATTGAATCAAGGATGGACAAATCCGTGGGCGAAGACTAGAGATATTAACCGAATCGTGCGAGGATGGAACATGAAGTTTTCTGGCGAAGGCAACGTCAGCGTCAACACCTTCCTATCCATGCTTAATAGCCTAAGGAATGATGCCGACTTATCAGAGAATGAGATGCTGGTATCCGTCTCAGAAGTGTTGTCCGGTTTAGAGTTGACATGGTTTGAAGCCATGAAAGACGAATAGTAGACATTCAGTCAGTTAGTTCCTTAGTTCAGGGACGAGTATGAGAGGTAACTAGACCTGCTGCACGCAAATCTCCTCTTGAAAATTCAAAAATTGGTACTGCTCTCGATCTCAACGGTTAGAGAGTTAAATTCCCTGTTATCCGTGGCGCAACACACGCTGAACCAGAGGAAGGTAAGGCAGATAATCTCTGACCCCCAGACAACGTTATACCCATAAGTACGGTATCACTCGTCCAGCAGGGAAACTACGAGCAAGAAGGTGAAAATCAGTGCTATCGACTCGGAGAAACCAGACGCAAAGGACCGTTTGGATATGATCGAGCGAGTGATAGAAAAGATAGCACACCAAACCGCGAATGCTGCCGCTACGATTCAAGAAAGTGAAAATGAAACTATAACGGCCGTATCGAGCGAGGGAAATGCGCCAGACGCCAAACCTCTTAAACTAATGACCAAAATACTACAGGATCTCCTAGCCGCCTTTAAGCATAATTACGGAAGGGTGGGCTCGGCTCTCGAGGGTTGAACCGAGCAGACTGGTTACAGTCGAAAAAAGGGATACTACTCCGAGCCACTTAAATGCAGTGAGCGCCGTCAACTTGGACATAATCGCCGGTATTGCTCTAAATGTAATAAAGGAAACGAGAAAAATAGCGGTTATACAGAGTTAAACTCGCTCCTAATTTAATATAGAACGCCCCGGATTATACCGCTGAAAATGGATCCAGTCCAGTATAATCTTTATGCGAAGAAATGACGACAAGGAAAAAAAAGTTGGTCGATCCAAACGCATAAGGTAATGTGTTAATAAATACTATACATGGTTTGGTAAAGAGTTCAACAAGAAAAACCCGTCAATTCAGACGCAATGGAGGTGGGAGGTGCTTACATTGGATATTTCTCGGCCAAACTCATGGTATCGCAAGACCTGGAAACCCACGAGGGCATCCTAAATACACCTCCAAATTGAAAAATGACATGCACACGAGCGTCTTGAAGGGCAAACAGATATCCATTTGGTAACTAGATATTGTATATGCCAGAGCAAGAGACGCGATGATGAATACCGATCAACATTGGGAATTTTAGATTCAAAGCATTATATGATCCAGGAGCATCAACAACAGCTATGAATACATCGACGTTACAAGTGGCGTCAGCTTTGAACATGAGGCTTGAAATTGCTGACGCCGATTTAGTTGGTTTACCGGATGATACGAAACTACTAATTACAAGTCACGTTAAGCTACTTATATTGGCAGGAAGTTTCACATTACCGACGAGAGTAGCTATACTCCCTATTCTTGTTGACGAATGTATTTTAGGAGTGAACTTCATCAAGTTATTCAAGACCGTACTGGATACAGATGAAGATATGAAAGTTTGACGGTTCTCGCGCGAAGTGAGCTTCTTTCAAGAGTCAATTTACCGCTCTTGTTCACAATCAAAATGCACTCTCCAATGATGATAAGGTTCATTACCTATTCACGAGCGTGATAGGCAGCGCCCGCGCTAAGATCGATGAGTATGAGATGAATGCGGAAGATTATCTCAATGCGTGGCGAGCTCTCCTCGATTTTTACGATCACAAGCGTATCGCAGCCACTCGGCATCTGAATGCCGTGCTTGATCTTCCAAAGGTCGGAAAGCACAAGGACCAAAAGGAGGTCACTCTTTCTGAATTGTACGATTCGGCTCGGCAACATATCAACGTCCTCAAACGCCTCGATGTAAATTATGGCGAGGATCTGGTGGTTCGTTGTATTGAAAGATGCCTCCCTCCTTATCTTTATGGTCGTTGGAACGACAAGTTAGATGTCAATGAGTTACCATCGTTGGACTCTTTGTTCAAATTCATCCAGAGAGCCATTTTCAAGCAAGAAGCTTTTGATGAATCCAATGATTATCAATCTAACTCGAAAAAGCGTCCCGCTGCTTCTAATCCTCAACGAGCTTCAAAAAGCTCCAAAACCACTGCCACCTCTTTCGCCACCACGCTCTCTCAGCCGTCGACTTCGTCAACTCCAACGGCTTGAACACCTCTGGTGTGTCCCAAATGTAAAGGTTCGCACCAACTTTTCAAATGCGAATCTTTCAAATCTCTCGACGTTCAATTACGCTGGGATTTCGCAAAGAATAACAAGCTTTGTTTCAATTGTCTCTGGGCCCATAAATTCCCGTGCGGTAGCACGAAAACTTGTAAAGTGTGTGGCAAAAGGCACCACACTCTGCTCCATAATACATAATGTCCAAACCAAGTGGAAATAAATCCTCCACTCCCACCGATTCCTCAAGTTGACTAATCCAACGCACACTTACTTCAGTGGCTTTTCCTTCAGAGTCACAATTAATGACTACAGCTATGGTCAAGGTCACAAACAATCGTGGTAATCTTGTCGTGGCACGCGCTTTATTAGATTCTTGTTCAATTGTAAATTTAATTACCGAAAATTTTGCAAAATCTTTGCGTTTATCTGAGTTTCCCTGTTCAGTCAGCATTGGAGCAGTTGATGGTTTATGCACTGTTTCACAAAGGTACATTCAAGCTAGTATCCACTCTAAATATAACAACCATATTCAACAAATTCAACTTCTAATAGTTCCAAAGATTGCCGAAGCCGTGCCTAACGACGTTTTTCCACGTGAGTTCTTCGACATTCCCAAAAACATAAAACTAGCAGATCCTCAGTTTCATTTGCCCAAGTCTATTGATGTTTTGCTATCATCCGGTGTCACCTTATCAGTTCTAGCCGTTGGTCAGATTAAACTCCAACGGGAAAATTCCGAGATCATTTTGCAAAAGACGAGTTTAGGATGGATTGTGGCTGGTGAGAACATTAACCAGTCATCTTATAGTTCTACGTCTTGTCACATGGTTAAGTTAGACAAGCTCATCGAACGTTTCCGGCTGATCGAAGATCTTGATCATGAGCCCAATAAATCTCGTGATGAGGTTGCATGTGAACAACATTACGTTACTCACACCCAATGTGATTCTTCTGGTCGTTACATCGTTCGTCTTCCATTCAGAAACTCCAAATTTGATTTGGGTAATTCTAAGTCTCAAGCTCTCAAACGTTTCGATTCTCTCCAAGCAAAATTTGCTAAGAATCCGTCACTGAAGGTTGAGTATTCCAAGGTGATGGATGAGTATATTTCTCTGGGTCACATGACTCTTTGTGAGGTAACCAAGATGGTTATTTTCTACCCCATCATGCAGTCGTAAAAGAATCTAGTGAGACTACTAAGGTTAGAGTTGTTTTCGACGCTTCTTCTAAAAATTCTACGGGCATTTCTCTCAATGATACGCTCATGGTAGGCCCAACTATACAAAACACTATTTTTGAACAAGTTCATCGTTTTCGTACTCACTCCTTTGTGATCACTGCCGACATCGAAAAGATGTATCGTCAGATTTTAATTTATCCCGATGATCGAAAATACCAAAGGATTCTCTGGTATCATAAAGGAGAGGTCAAGACCTTCCAACTCAATATAGTTACTTTTGGGGTAGCTGCAGCTCCAGTCCTTGCAATTCGCACCATTCAACAACTTGCTCGTGACGAGGCCAAAGATTTTCCAAGAGTTAGTAAATTACTCTTTCGTGACTTTTATGTCGACGACTTTATTTCTGGTTCAAATACTCTTGAAGAACTTTTGGCAATTCGTGATGAAATGATAGCTTTGTTGCGCCGATGTAGTTTCATCAATCGAAAATGGGCTTCAAATCATTTATCTGCTTTGAATACCATTGACAAGAAGGTGTTCGATCTTGACTGTGTTATCAGAGAAGATCCCGTTCAGAAAACTTTGGGTGTCGTGTGGGATTCTCAAAGGGACATCCTGCAATATTCTGTGAGTTGTATCGATCTTCAAGCTACTTTAACCAAAAGACAGCTTTTATCTAAAATCTCAAAGATATTTGACCCTTTAGGTCTATTAGGACCGGTCGTATTGTTTGCCAAAACCTTGATTCAGGATTGCTGGAAGGCCAAGGTTGGCTGGGACGAATCGCTTCCTCAAGATATCCATACCAAATGGAAATCCTTTGTTCTTCAATCATCACTTCTGAAACAGGTCTCGTTTCCTCGTCAATTTTTAATTCCAAATCCAACTAGGATTGAACTTTATGGCTTCTGTGATGCCTGCAACTACGGTTATGGTACATGCTTGTTCTTGAAATCTGTAGACTCCTCAAACAACGTGATAAGTCGCTTGGTTTGTAGTAAATCTCGAGTTGCTCCCTTGAGCGGCGTAACAATCCCTCGATTGGAATTGTGCGCTGCTTCCGTTCTTAAAAAACTTTACGTCGATACTAAATCTCAATTCGATTTCCCAATTGATCAAACAATTTTTTTGTCTGATTCCACTATTGTTCTCGCGTGGTTGAAAAAGGCTCCTCATCTCCTCAGAGTTTTCGAATCCAACAAAGTTGCTGATATTCAAACGTTAGGTGAACAAGTTTCTTGGAGACACGTCCGTTCAGAGGACTACCCTGCAGACGCCCTTTCTAGAGGACAACTACCAGCTGACTTTCTAGATAACTCACTTTGGACTTTAGGACCATCTTGGCTTTCCCTGCCTTCACAAGAATGGCCCAAATCCGTTGAAACTTCTCCTAAAGAGCTTCCTGGTCTTAAGAAAGGAGTGTGTCTGTTGACAACGCCAAGTTCATCATTCAGCGAAATCTATTCACGTTTCTCCGTCTACGGTCGATTGACTAGAGTAATGGCATATGTTTTTCGATGGAGACAAAGGTCTCGTGATCGAGGTAAGACAACTCAATTGTTTCCCGACGTCGAAGAATCTTCAATCAGGATGAAGAAAATTCTTCAGTTAGTTCGTCCCCTTCTTCCTTCGGAAGTCATGGCTTCCGAAATTAGCATCGTTAAGTCGATGCAACAAGAAAGGTTTCCCAATGAGCTTCGAAAATTGTCTCAAACTTGTAATTCCCTCAAACGGGGAACTAGTTTCGAGAACTTGGCTCCCCTAGGAGACGATAAGGTTATCCGTGTATGGACGTTTAAACAAGTCTCAGCTTCCATACAATCAAAGGCATCCGATTCTTTTGCCTCAGAACCATCATAGTACAGACTTGATTATTCGTCAGACTCACCTTTCCAACATTCACGCTGGTATTTCAACCACTTTCTATGCTGTTCGCAATAAATTTTTCATCTTGAATGGAAAAAATCAAGTTAAGAGAGTTATTCGACGTTGCGTAGATTGCATTCGTCAAAAACCACCTATAGCTCATGCGCAAATGGGAAATTTGCCGGAGCCTCGAGTTTCAGAATCCCCTGCCTTTGATCGTACAGAGGTCGATTTCTTTGGTCCACTTCTCATCAAGGAGAAGGCTCATCGTAACAAGTCCTTCCTCAAGGTGTATGGCTGTGTTTTCGTATGCTTAGCATCAAAGGCCGTTCACATCGAACTGGCTCTCGATTTATCCGCTCAAGGTTTCTTAGATGCCTTTGACCGTTTTACATGTCGTCGAGGTCTCCCTAGTCACATGTATTCTGACAACGGTACCAATTTTGTGGGAGCAAATCGTGAGCTTCAGGAACTCTACGATTTGTTCGAAAGCCCCGAATTCCGCAAACAAGTCGGAGAAAATAGGATTGCGAAACGTGTGGAGTGGCACTTCAACCCTCCTTTATCGCCACATTTTGGGGGTCTTTGGGAAGCGGCTGTTAAGAGCTTTAAACATCATTTGAAGCACGTCCTAAATCAACAGCTCACTTATGAGCAACTAGAAACCTTCCTGATAAAAATTGAAGCGATCTTAAACTCACGACCTCTTTGTGTTCTCTCCGCCGATTCGAATGATCCTTTAGCAGTTACTCCAGCTCACCTTTTGATCGATAGACCTATAAATGTCTTACCCGAAAAATCTCTTTTATCAGTTCCAGATAATCGTCTTTCCACATCCAAGTTCTTGATCAATGCCCGTCAGAATTTCCGGGACAAATGGCATAAGGAGTATTTACACGAACTTCAGATTCGGCAAAAATGGGAAACCTCCAACTCGACACTCCAACCTGGAATGATCGTCCTTCTCATGGACGATCTCACACATTGCGCAAAATGGTCACTGGGAGTGGTCCTCGAGGTCTTTCCTGGGAGTGACAGCATCGCTCGGGTTGCGTCTGTGAAGACTTCCTCGGACGTATATAAACGCAATATCACTCGACTTTGCGTGTTGCCGGTGGTTCAAGATGATCCGCCTCTTTCAAAGTCTCAACAACTTCAGGGGGTATGATCGATGAAAGGAACGCCCCAGATGTGCGCGCTTTGACTTGCCATAATCGAGTCGAACTACGGCGTATTCTGGAAGAGCGATGAAGCCTGGTCCGAGAATGGTAGAACTCAGAGAGTTCTACAACCAGAAGGCCAGAAGGGTAACCTCTGGTTCGTGATATCCAATCCGGTACATTGGATCCTGGGGAAGTTGAGACTTCGAATCCTATCGTGCAATTGTTGTATTTAGGGTAGTTGTACGTTTTTGTTATAAAGACATTATCCTTGTTCAATCTAGCTTAATCCCGATATGTGATCAACCTAATCAATCAAACAATCCCTTCAACGGAAATTGTTTGTCGCCACTTGTCTAGTCCGTTCGCAAGTAACCAAAGATTCTAGTTACTAACTGGCTTAAGTTGTAAATATGGTATCGTTCTATGATTGCGTTAGTCACTTTTGAATTAAGAATCCTCTGTATTTATCTATAACTTCATTATATTACTAGCGTAATCTGCTTCATAGGTTAAGTCTAACTTATATTTCGCAGCGTCGGTCGGGAGTATGTTCCGTCGTCTCATGTGTGTGTGTATGTGTGAGCGTGACAGCCGAGCTTGAGTGAGAACTGAGGGAGATGGCACCACCAACTGCGCATGCTTTCGCGGTTTTTTGGCGAGTTCGCGCCAATCTAACCACGAGCACATCGTCAGTATAGCTCGAGCGGCCATTGTGTGCAGGGCTATCGCGAGTTTTTGCCCTCGTTTGCATCCGTGAAATTCAATGGAATCCGGTTCGATTTGTGATCGTGATAACTAAAATCGTCAACGACTAACAATATGAAAGACGCAAAACAATGTATTGCGCAAATCTATTGCTTACTTTATCTATAACTACAACAAATAAGTGGCCCTTGCCACGTGGTGATTACAGGTAGTAATCTACGAACCTTTTCCTCTATCTACTATTGCCTTTGTGTGATATCACCGATATCAAGCTAATTTCATCAATCTTGTCAATCCTATTTTCATTTTGTATGATATCACCGATATCAAGCTAACTTCATCTTTCTCTATAATTATCTTGGTGCGATATCATCGATATCACCAGCAACATTTATCTAGTGTGTGAGTCTGTGAGCAAAAATCATCTGCGCGCGTGCGCGCGTAGAATTTATGTGAACACTTGGTAGTATCTTGCGAAAATAATTGCGACATTTGTGCGTGTCACTTTGTGCGGCGTCACTCTATTCTTTCATTCAAGTTCATCCGAATTTATCCAATCTGTATCGTCTTAATAAATTGGGTTTTTTTATGCCGAAAGGCTTTTTTCCCACAAAAAAACAGTGTTATTTTATTTGTCACCAGTGCTACATTAACAAACCATAGGGACCAGTTTTAAATCAAACCTTAAAGGTTGATTCATTTTGTAAACTTAAGGGTCAAATCACGCGAAATTAAGTTATTTCATTAAAATCATTTCCTTTTAATTCCTTTCAAAAAAAATTGCTGAAATGCCACCTATGGCATTTTAGAGGTGAACTTTTCAAGACAAAACAAAGAGCATTGCTGGACAGAACAATGGACGAGACTCTTAAGGCGGGAGTAACTATGACTCTCTTAAAGGAGGGTGGTTGAGTGCGGAACATTTAGCGATGATCATGATGCGCGCTGCGCACCATTGGCGGACGGCGAGGTCCGCCATTTTGCGTTGTGCAAATTTGTGGTCAGAGCGGTGGGCTGCGTTTGACTACCTCCAGCCTTGCGTGTTGTGGAAAGTCATGCGTGTGGTGGAAGATGACTTAGCATTATTGAAAGGCGAAGGTTGGTGCACCTTAGTGTGCACCAGCCCAAGCGATGCGTGTCATTGGAAGCCCTGCGCGTGGCCGAAGGCAATGCATGTGGAGAAGGAGTTGTGGTTGCCCCTCGGCTGGTGGCGAAGTTAGCCGCTGACCGACCCGAAGTAAGTGTCTAGTTATTTTGAACGCTTGCTAGCACTCGCATGTGCGGATGTACAAACCTCTACGTGGTGGGGCTACAGTTGACTCTAGCAACCAGTACGGTTGCTAGAGAAAACAAGAAAGAACGAAGGTTGTCATTGAGCTGGGGACTTCCGTCCCCAGCTAGCCGTCTCGTACGGCGAAGGTATGACTTGGAAACAAGTCATCCGGATGGATAGTGAACATCTCTTCTTCGGGTGGCGGAATGCGGCCCGCTTAGCAACGCCCATGATGCACATTGCGTCGCACCATTGGCCGACCGCGAGGTCGGCTGGGGCACGTTGTGCAAAATTTTGGTCGGGCGGCGAGTTCGTGTTTAGCTACCTAGATGAGGAGGCTCTGTCGGAGGAGCCAGCTGGAATTATCCAGTGGATACTGCATCTACCTTTCTCAAATGAGCTACAACAACAGTAATGCCTCGGAGGCGCCTGGGGTGGGTGCTGTGCGGAGACGTGCAAATCCCGCGGTCCAAGCTCCAGCCGTCGGGGAGTTTAACCCAAATGGCAGGACCACAGAAAGGTGGCCGATCATGGAAAAGTCCATCCATAAAATCGGAGTACCATTCGGGGCACCAACATCTTGCCCCGAATGCTTAAAAGCTGGCTCGGCTCGTCTATATATCAAGCCACAAGAACTTGCACGGCATATAGACGAGCAGCACCTGAACGCCAAAGCTAAATGGGAATGTTCAAGGTGCGCAGCCGTGTTTGACAGATGTCACGGCTGGATTGTTCACTGGTCAAGGTGCAAGGGTACGAGTGAACAAGAAAGTATAGTATACGCTTTTCGCTGTACGGTCTGCGAAAAATCCTTCAAAACCAAGAGCGACCTGTCGCAACATGAGCGACACGAGCACTCCGAGCTTCACAATGCCAAGCGGGTGGCAGAGGCAAGCAAAGACCACAAACCAAAGGGGGCTCCCAAGAGTAAATGGTCGAATAGAGAAATTCGCCGACTTTACAGATTGAATGCGGTGTATAAAGACAGGCCTTATCCGAATAAGGCCATCGAGGATCATATGCCCTCGAAAACAAACAGACAGATCGGCGAAAAACGCCGAGAACTTGACAAAGTTGTCGCAGAAATGAAGCGGCAAGGGACATGGTACGAGAGAAAAGGCAGTAAGACGGAGTGGGTAGACTCTGATGACGAGTCAGAGGGAGCTGTAGGTCCTTCACAGGTCTTACAAGAGATACCCCCTGTGAACCTGGTTCCACTCCGTCCGCAGATTAATCATGAAGAGGACATAGCTATTGACAGCTGTTCGGAAGAACAGTTGCCGATGCCTTCTCGTACCAGGGACGAAGTAGTGGTCGCGAGTGAGAGCGACGATGCTGATCATAGTGTACCTTCGATAGACGCCATCGATGATGTTCAGCCAAGCGATGACTCCTCGGTCACAGAGGAGTTTTTCGATACGGTTGAGATGTTATCTGATGTGGAGGTACTGGAAGAACCCACGGAGTGGGTCGAGGCTCTACGAGGCAAGATACTGTCAGTCGAACAAGTTTCGCCGTCTTGGGAACTAATAGTGTCCAAAATTAAAGAGTTATCGGCGAGTCGTATCATAGCCAGCGACGAGATCGATGCTCTTTATGACAGCATCGAAAAGAACTTAATGCCTAAGGACAGCGTTGACCCAACAAAGGAAAGACGTCAGAATAGTTGTCGAAGAAAAGTGTCCAATCGACGACGACATCACGGACGAAGGCGAGCGAATGCGAAAACTCGCCCAAATAGGACCGACAAGCGCAGATATGCCTATAGTCGGTGTCAGGACCTATACGACAATGATCCGAAGAAGCTAGCGGACATTGTCGTACAAAATGACTTCTCACTGCTGCAAAAAGAGAAGCCACCTGCATCAGTAGCAGTAAAGGAACTGTACAGTAGGCTCTGGGACGTGACCGGCCCAGTAAATGTTGATCAAATCTATTTACCAACAAGGATCGAAGCAGCTACTCCTATGGAGTGTATCTTTGTACCTATTACTGATTTAGAGATGACTAAAAAGTTAAAGTCAACAAATAATTCGATAGCAGCGGGTCCTGATGGGATCACTAAGAGTGAGCTCATGAAAAAGGGAGTAGCAATTGTTCTAGCCAAGTTCTTCAACTTATTGTTGTTGAGTAGACGTTACCCGAAGGCTTGGTCTCGCAACAGGACGACGCTAATTCCAAAAGCCGGAAAAGATCTAGCAGAGGTAAAGAATTGGCGACCGATTACTATCAGTTCGCTTAATTCTCGACTCTTCTCATCTATGTTGGACAGGAGAATTCGGTCGGTCATTACGAAGACCGACCGACAGAGAGGTTTCATAGATGAAAATGGTTGCTATGCTAACGTGAATATTCTGGGAGCAGCTATTCAGTTGGTAAAGACAAAGGGAGCTACATTCAGTGTGGATGATGTAGCGAAGGCGTTTGATACAGTTCCTCACTCTGCGATTGTTCCAGCACTAATGAGGAAGGGTATACATCGCCGAGCAGCCGAGTACATAGGCAGCATGTACGAAGAGTGCTTCACCGAGATTAAAACTGACGGAGAACCCGTGAAGATTAAATTGCGACGAGGAGTTAAACAGGGCGATCCGATATCCCCTTTGCTGTTCTGCTTGTGTATAGAGCCCTTAGTTGACAAGATATAGGTAGAAAGCAGGGGTATCACAATAGAAGACAATAAGCTGGCAGCGGCGGCATTCGCAGATGACTTAGTCACTGTTGCAATGGATGGCGCTGAGGCTGCGGCTCAGATGAGGACTGCCGCTGAGTTTTTCAAAAGCCTAGGCATGGAAATAGCTCTAAATAAATGCGTGGCTTTTGAAATCAAACCCCTCCCGGGCAAGACTTATTGCGTAAAAGATCCGGATTTACGGATTGATGGAGTTAAAATCCCTGCAACAGCAGATCAAATTATTAAGTATCTCGGTACAAGTATCACACCATGGAGAGGACTGATATAAGGCTTCGAACACGAAGCCTTTGAAGAATTGATACATCGCGCTCATTTGCTGCTGTTGAAGCCGATGCAGAAGATCGACTTACTTAATAAATACTTGTTGCCGAAATTCGTTTACGGACTAATCATGAGTCCGCCTTCCATGACGGCTCTTGAAGCGATCGATTCCGTCATTAGATCAAACTATAAACGAATGTTGCACATAAGCGACAAGATAAGCACTGCATATATGTATACGCCCAGAAAATACAGCGGACTTGGTTTGATCAACATAAAGTCGATGGTGTTAATAGCGGCTCTAAGGAATGGTTTGAAGGCAATGGAGTCGTGAGATACTTTAACACGTCGAGTGATGGAAACAGATCGCATGCAGAAGAAGTTAGCCGGCTACGCCAAAGGCATGGCCGCTTACGTTAACCCATTAAATGGCAAACGTCCATGGCTGCAATGCTTCGATTTGACATTTTGCCATTCGTACAATTCTCAATAGATTTGGATGAACTTTGGTTTCCTTATGTTTTAGTATATGCTCTTTCGAAAAATCACCAAGTTTTTTTGAAAATCTTGACAGAAAAAAAAATATGGCCGATTTTTTCGAAAAAATTCCAAATTTTTTTCAATTTTTCTTCAAATTTCGCTCTGCTGAAAAGAAATGGACCCTAAAATAGGCTCCCTAAATAATTTTTTTCGCGACATGGGACAATTATCTTTCAAGCGCATTCGACTTTATTAAAAAATGTTGATTAGAAAAAAAAATATGGCGATTTTTGTATCGTAGTGTAATTTAGAAATTCATGATTTTTTTACTCAAAAAATGTCAACTTTTGGAAAAATTGTTGTAGAACAAAAAGTGCTTAGAATTGATCGAGGAATACGTGTGAATTTTTACTAAATAATTTGGAAAATTTTTGGAAAATTGAATATTTGAATTTCCCGAAAATCCAAAAATATTTATACTTTTTTTTGGAAGTGCTTATTTTTACCACTTTTAAATAAATGTATGAGTTGAAATGAAATGAAATTGATAAAAAAAACTCCTCGTGGAACTTTTAAAGTTTAATATGAAAAAAATAGCGGAATGAATTTCGTAATCGTGGTAGATTCTAAACAAGTTTCGATTATTTCAACTGCAGCTGGTGTTACACCAACAAAAGAAGTGAAACGCTACTCCAAAGAAAAAAAATGAGAACTGACATTTCTATGCCACTTGTGTTTTCACTTTATAACTTATTTATGGGAAGTGTTGACCTACACGAACAGTACTGTAGTGCTTTATTACCTATTATTAGAAGTAAGAGATGGACTTGGCCAATATTGATGAGAATTATCCAGTCTTCTATTGCAAATGCAGTAATACTCTATAATGCATGTTCAGGCAAAAAAAAGTAAGCGCAAAGAAATTCGCTTTGAGTATTGTAGATAGTTATGTCAAAAACGCTAAATTAGGTGATTTGAAAAACCACAATTTGAGCCTAACTATCAGAAGAAGAGCTTGCAATGGACAAGGATGTGCTACTCATACGTTTTACATGTGCAAAGAGTGTAAAAAGTATTATTGTAGTCAATGCTTTGCTAATTTACACAAGTAAATAATTGGTAACAAATGATTGTCAAAAAGAAATATTTCTAAAAACATAAAAATTGAATACAAAAAAATTCAAAAAAACAAAAATTACAAAATATAAAAATATAAACAAAAATACAAACAAAAAAATTATTAAAGTGGAGATTTTTTAATTTAAAAAAATTTATTTAGCTGCGTAAATTCGCAAAACTTGGATTGTATTTCCGTTACATTTTCGGTTGAATTCAAATATATACCAGCCATAAAATCACTAAGAATTGTCAAAAAAAGATGTTTAGAGAGAAACTTAATTATTATAAAATTTTTTAAAAATTTTCAATTTTCTATTTTTAAAAAAATTTTCAAATTTCAAAAATTCTTATATGTTTCTTGACCACTTCTAAGCACTGTTTGTTCTATAATATTTTTTTCAAAAAGTTGATATTTTTCGAGTAAAAAAATCATGAATTTCTAAATTACACTACGATACAAAAACCGCCATATTTTTTTTTCTAATCAACATTTTTTAATAAAGTCGAATACGCTTGAAAGATAATTGTCCCATGTCGCGAAAAAAATTATTTAAGGAGCCTATTTTATGGTCCATTTCTTTTCAACAGAGCGAAATTTGTAGAAAAGCTGAAAAAAATTTGGAATTTTTTCGAAAAAATCGGCCATATTTTTTTTTCTGTCAAGATTTTCAAACAAACTTGGTGATTTTTCGAAAGAGCATACACTAAAACATAAGGAAACCAAATTTCATCTAAATCTATTGAGAATTGTACGAATGGCATAATGTCAAATCGAAGCATTGCAGCCACGGACGTTTGCCACTTAATGGGTTAAAAGAACTAGACCAAGCTAAAGAAAGAATCAAGAGGAGCTATCTTCAGACTTGGGCCAATCAACCGTCGCAAGGACAAGGTGCCTTGGACTTTAAGTCTCCGCTAGGAAATACGTGGCTGACTGATAATACTCTGCTAAAGCATTCGAGAATAGCCAATGCTATCTCACTGCGAACGAATACATATCCGACAAGGCTGTGTATGAAAAGATTTCTGGGCATGCAAAACGAGAACTTTGACACCAGCTGTAGAAGGTGCAAAGTTCGATTTGAGATGTTAGGACATATACTAGGGGAATGTACCTCTACCAAGGACCAACGAATTCATCGTCACGATGAAATCAAAGAGATGATAGCCACCAAGCTAGAGGAAAGCAATAGTGCTGTGCTTGTCGAGCAAATGTTTGAAAGTCAGGGTCAGAGATATAGACCGGACCTCGTCGTCAAGGCGAATGATGGAAAAGCCTATATTCTCGATGTTACCCTTCGCTATGAGAACAGATCGTTTCTCAAAGCGGCTGCGAAAGAGAAGATCGACAAGTACGGTAATATTAAGAGTGTAGTAATGAACACTCTAGGTGCGTCATCAGTGGAGATCGTCCCGGTAGTGTACGGATCGAGAGGAGCGTTGCCGGAGGCAACTATTACGTCCCTGAAGAGACTAGGGTTCAGTAAATCTGAACTAATAACGATGTCACTGATAGCGCTACGTAGTTCTATTGAAATGCTAAATACTTTCATGGACTACGGCGCTGATAGATAAAGTTATCAGGCGACGGAAAAGAAAACAATTGACTAGGGTGGCTAAGTATTGAGTTACTTAGTGAGACATCAAAATTTGACTAGAGAACAGCTAAGTATACACGAATTACTTAGCAGAAGAAAAGAAAATTGTGTTTTATTTATTTTATTGTTGTTGCGTGTGCTCTTGCAGGTCTGCACTGCGATAAGAGCAATTAGTCCAGAAGTAGTGTGGGAGATCGGAGGTGAGCTAGGCACTCACGCTTCGAGGGATGCGGAAGTGATTCCCGCCACCGGTCATCGGGCCGATCTCTCTGCGACTATCTGCTTAGTGCGAGTCGTATCCTGCTAATTAAGTAGGTGCGGCGCGGAGCCGGGGCCATGGAAGCCATGGCTTGCGGGGCGGACACCTTCTCGTCGGTTTTCCCTGAGAGTCCAACACTAGGACTGCCAAGATCCGCTTGTGAAAACACTCCGTGACTAATTTTTTCAGACGTTTTGCAGAGCCTTGGCTGTGGATGGGACTGAGCTCCATTCACGTTGTTAAGTTTTTCTTTTATTATTTCAGAGTTTATTAATTGTTAAGTTTTTTTTTTTTTTTTTAGTTTAGTCTTGTTTTGGTTTGTTTATTTTTTTTCTTGTTAAGTTTTAAAATCACCCGCGATTCGCGCTGGGGAAGTACGTCCGAGCCACTTGGGCTCGTTGACGCAGGCAGTAGCCCCCGAGGGCCTAGGGTGTGCCTTGGGTATCAAACACGAGATTTGTATCGGCAACGCCAAGCCGATTAAGCAGAGATATTACCCCAGTCTTTCATAACGAATAGCAAGAGATACACTGGCTGGTGCTGGTGATAGGTGACAATTCGCGCGAGGCAAATTTGTCCCGTGCGTAGGCCTTTCAACAGCCCAGCGGCCTTTGACTCGGGCGGCAGTCAGGCTCTCGAGCACCCCATCCCGTTCGCGCGTCAATAACGAAATCTTCGTAGATTTGAATCCGGGCTCCCGATACCGCGATCGTGAGATATTCGATCGGACGTATTCGTATATATCTATCCGTAATCGGTTATACGAGTATATAAAATAAACAATAACGGGGAAACATATGGATATACTCAAGCGCGTTTAATAGGATTTATAAAATTTATTTTATAAAGCTCAAGTACATGAATAAATTATCGAGCGAAAATAGAGATATATATATATATATATATATATATATATAGTCGCGTGTTCTTCGCCTCGCGTTGTCTTTTATTTATAAACAAATAGTAATCACTTATTTTCTTAATAGAGTTATTGGCGCTCGGTCCTTTATGTATTATTATTGCTTTTATTTATTTATATGTCCTTCCTTCCTTTTGTTTTTAAACGGATTGTATGGTCCGTCAAATGTACGCATATATATATGTATGTGTCCAATTGATACAGTGGATTAATATATTTCCTTATTCCTAACGGCGTGAACAAATTGCCTGTATGGTTGCTGTCTTTCTTTGGCTTTTATTAACACTCAAGCTCTGATGAAGTAAACTGAACTAAAC